AGTGGTGAGATGGGGAAGCTGGCTGGTGAGGTGGCTGCCATCTGAGAATGGCCGGGGCTGTGAGTGGCTGAGGGCTCTTGGCCCTGAATGACTGGGGAAGCTTGGCAAGCCTGCTGGCCTTGGGGGAAGGCCCAGGACCTGCCTTGAGCTCCAGATCAGCCATTTACTAGGCTCGCTGAGCGGGCTGGGAGCCAGGCCCTATGGGGCTTGTGGGGGTAGAAAGGGTGCCGTTGGCCTGGGTCCTGGAGCAAGCAGGGTACTTTGGGTGGTGCGTGCGTGTGTTTCGGTAGGGGCAGCGCAGCTCACATGCCATGTGGAGAGGTTCCAGCCTGCTGGAAGCTGAGGCCGGAGGAAACCCAGGCAGAGAGCCACCGAGCTGGGCCGCCGTCAGTGCAGGAAGGCGTCGGGCTTCTTCCAGATTCCCAGCCGCTTAACCTCTCCTGTGCTTTCCGTGTTGTGTTTCCCTGCAGTTTCTTAGAAGGCTATTTTTGAAAACTCTAGCTTGTGTCTGCTGAGCACATAAAGAACAGATGAAGGGTTTTATTCCTGCCAAGACCAGTCGGAAAGGGAGAGTGTGCACTTGGCCTGAGACAGCAGCACGCAGGGCTGAGAGAGCCCCAAGCAGGCGGCCCCAGCAAGGCAGTGAGCCACACGGCCCTGCGCTGTGGCTTGGCCCTGGGACCTGCAGAGCTTTTCATTTAAGGGGAGACCCCTTAGAGATGTCAAGTATGCTGATTACTCGGCCCTGGCACCCACAGTGGGAGCCCCAGTCTTCAATTCTCCTTCAGACCCCGGCCCTGCTTTTGTTCCCGAGTTTTAGAGCCATGATGAAATGAGAATTGACCTGCCAAGTGGGGGGTGGAGTGCAGCAGCATGGGAGAGGTCTCCATGTCTCTCAGGGGTCTGAGCTCCCACCTCTCCGATCGGACTGGCCAGTCCTTTGCATGACTTCACTGTCCTTGCCTCACGCCCCTCTCCCAGGGCCTTCCTCTTTCCAAGTGACCAGCAGATTGACCTGGAGCTGTGGGCAGAGCAGGCCGAATTTGACTGCACCGAGCTCCACCAGATGCGTGTGCAGGACAATTGCATCTTCTCCATCAGCCCCAAGACCGGAAGCCTAAGCCCTGGGCAGGGGCAGATGGTGGAGTTCAAATACAGGTGCTCTCTCCATCCCTGCCATCCCCGCACTTCCAGCCTTGGAGACCCTGCCCCTGGCCTTTCCCTGACTCCAGGGCACGTAGAATGGCCATCCCTACGGGAGGACCCCTTCCTACCTGCAGGAGGGGCTCAATGTCCTTCTTGCCCTGTTCCAGTTCAGGGTCTAGCCACTCGCAGGGGCTGACCAGCTCAGAGCCAGGGGCATGCCATGGCCTCTTGTTCTCCCACTCGTACCAGGGCTCAAGAACTCACTCCTGGGCTCATCCCCTCCCTTTCAGCCACCTGTTCGTCGGCACCGATCGCCTCCCAGTGCTCTTCAAGGTGTCCCATGGCCGGGAGATCCTGGTGAGGCCCGAGTATCCTGGCCCTGCCCTGGGTCTTGGACTGAAAGAAAGAGCTCGCTGGACAACAGAGAGGAACAGAGAACAGCACCTCTCTGGGGACCTGGGGTCCAGCTCTCTCGCCTGGGAGTGTCGGTTCCTTCCAGGGAAGGGTGCTACCCACGGGGGTTCTATTTCCAGCTGAATTTCATAGGCGTGACAGTAAAGCTGGAGCAGAAGTATGTGCATTTCACCTCCACCAGCCACCAGTTCGTTCCTGTCCCCATTGGCGACACACTGCCCCCACGGCAGGTACGTTGTCTGTGTCCTCCGGGTCACAAGGAGGCCTAAGCATGGATATCTGCACATCTGTCAGCCTTTGACAGGGTGACAAAGACACTGGGCTCTAGAAATACCTAAGAGTTGGGACTGGCAGGTCAGGCTCCCAGACTAGACAACTGAGAGAGACCCGAGGCGAGAGGCTTCAGGTCCTGATGGCTGGTACTGAGCCTTCATGCAAGGTCCAGTTCCCCTGCAAAAGTGGGTTCTTAGGCCAGCAGGTGGCATGGTGGTGTGGTGGTTAAGGGCGTTCCCAAGTGGCTAACTGCAGTTCAAGTCCTGCACCTGGCAGCTTGCTTTCTCACTACCCATCCCTACTTCTCTCGGTCACTCTGTCCTTCTCTGGTCAAATTAAAATAAATAAAGTTAAATAAAATAATTCTTTGGGGGGAAAAAAGTGGATTCTGTTTTCTCTTCTAGCACAAGGTGTTTCAAACTTTGATCATGAACCACACATATATGCTTTCACCCCAGTATATGTATATACACACACACATATTGTGACCAAAGTATTGCAACTCTGTACTTAACATTACTATATGCAGGGGACCAGCAGTTAGCGTAATGGCTATGTCGCTGAACTCCCACGTAGTCGACCACGGTTCGCGTCCCGGACCCGGTGGCTTAAAACTCACGCCGGGTGCGTGTGCGTGCGTGCCCAAGATCCCGAGAGGAGAATGGAGGAGAAGGGATTGCGGTGTGACCATCCCCCCGGCGGGTGATTTCTCGCTTTCTGTCTCTATGTCTCTCTCTGTCTGGCGAGGGCACGCGCCCTGTAGTGAAAATCTCTCTCTCAAAAAAAAAGAAAACATTACTATATGCAAAAATTCTCATATTCTCCTGTTTGCTTTATCCTGTTCCATGTTTCTTATTTACTTATTCCTGTTGTTTTTAAAATGCCAGAGGGCATATGCATTTACCAGAGAGAGGCAGAGAGATGGAGAGGGAGAACACACCCCCAGTAGGGCAATAGTCAGGCTGGAAATCCTTTCCTCCATTCCTTCATCCTGTTAGGATTTGGAGCATGCACGGACAGGTGCCCTGCATGTTCTACAAGCTTCTAAGGCCAGGACTTGAACCATAGTCAGCTGTGTGGGATTTGGCTTCCCTAGGCTGAAGCCATTATTATTATTATTATTACTATTATTATTATTTTTTGAGTGAGATTTTTGCTACAGGGCACATGCACTCACCAGAGAGAGAAAGAGACAGAGAGATAGAAAGTGAGAAATTTTCCCCCGGGGAGATGGCCACACTGCAATCTCTTGTCTATTCTCCTCTCGGGATTTTTGAGCATGCACACACACGTGCCCAGCATGAGTTTTTAAGCCACCAGATGCAGGACTTGAACTGTGGTTGCCTACGTGGGAGTTCAACTATGTATCTATTACACCATTTGCAGGTCCCTAACCCTATTACTTTTTATTTTCTGTTTATTTGTTTTTGTTTGTTTGTTTGTTTGTTGAGTTTTACCATATAGTGCTTGCACTCACCAGAGAAAGACAACGAGAGGGAAAGTGAGAAATCACTCCCCAGGAGAGATGGCCATGTTGCATTCCCTTCTCCTCCATTTTCCTCTTGGGACTCTGAGTACGTGTGCACACGCACCCGGTGTGATTTTCAAGCCATCGGTTCCAGGACTCGAACTACAGTTGGTCATGGGGGAGTTCAATGCTTTAATCACCATGCTGTCTGCTGGCCCCCACAGCCCTATTATTCTTTTTAAGTTTATTTCTTCTGGGGCCAGCAGGTGGCGTGGTGATTAAGACACTGGACACTTCCCCATGACTGACCCCGGTTCAAGTCCTGGACCTGGTGGCTTGCTTTCTCACTTTCCCTCTCTCTCTGGTTAAATTAAAATGAATTAATAAATAAAAGTAAATAATTCTTAAATAAATAAAGTTTATTTTTTCCATTAGCAAGACAGACAGCACTCACAACAGGGTCCTGCTGCCATGACCCACCTCCAGCTTCAGCCAGCCCTGGATCAAGGGCATGTGCATGCCTAGTATACTCAGGGAGGTCTCTGGATGAGAACCTGAAACCTTTCCCTGTGGATCAGCCTCAAGGAGCATCGCATTTTACCACTAAGCCGCCATCTGTCTCCTCTTCCTTTTTTTTTTTTTTTTTTTTAGAGATTTTTATGATAGGGTGCATGTGTTTGCCAGAGAGATGGAGACAGTCAGAGGGAAAGTGAGAAATCACTCCCAAGGCGGGATGGCCACACTGTAATCCCTTCTCTCCATTCTCCTGGCTATCAGGATCCATTTTTTTTTAGAGGTTTGTTTGTTTGTTTGTTTGTTTGTTTGTTTTTGCTATAGGGTGTGTGTACTTGCCAGAGAGATAGACAGAAAGTGAGAAATCACCCCCCAGGGAGGATGGCTATACCACAATCCCTTCTTTTCCATTCTCCTCTTGGAATTTTGGGCACACACACACACACAGGTGCCCGGCATGAGCTTTAAGCTGCTGGGTCAGGGACTTGAACCATAGTTGACTACATGGGAGTTTGTCACATAACCACTACACTATCTGCTGGTTCCACTGATTCCATTCATGAGGGCTCCACCGTCGTGACCTAATAATCACCTCTTAAAGGCCCATCACTGGGGATTAGATTTCCACATATGAATTTGTGGGGATGCCAAAATTCAGCCCCTATCACCAGGACTGGAGCTCAAAGAGTTGGTTTAGACTAGAGAAATAAAGTTAGTGTATCCAGGAGTGAGTGCAAGAAGGGTGACGTGGGGCCAGGACTGCAGCCAGGTGAACCACTGCTCTCTCTAGCTTCAGTTTTCTCGTCTCTAAAAGGAAGGGCGGGACCGGAATCTCTCTGGCTTTTCCCAAGACATTTGGTGACTCCTAACCTTTGGAGTTTGTTCTGAGCGCCTCTGACCTTCCTTCTGCCCCCTCGTCTTCCTTTAAGCAGGACCTGCTCTAGCGGCAGACATGGGAAGTGGCAGCCTCATGGTGATTAGGATGTAGGCCTATAAGAGGATGAAGGATCAGGATGGTGCCTTCACCAACACTCCCCTAAATCCAAACACTAGGGACACTAGCCACAGGATCCCCTTAGAACTTGACAAAGGTTGGGACCAGCAGTTGGTGTAATGGGTACGTTGCTGGACTCTCATGTATTCAACTGTGGTTCGAATCTTGGACCCAGTGACTTGAACTCACACCAGGCGTGTGTGTGCGTGCATGCCCAAGATCCCAAGAGGAGAATGGAGGAGAAGGGATTGCAGTGTGGCCATCCCTCCTGAGCGGTAATTTCTCGCTTTCTGTCTATTTCTCTTTCTGGCGAGCACACGAGCCCTGTAGCAAAAACTTCTCAAAAAAAAAAAAAAAAAAAAGAACTTGACAAAGGGAAATTGAGGACCAATAAAATAAGCTTCTCCTTTACACATGGGATTATAGATCACCCTAAACATTCCAGGCTGAAAATGCCAGTAGTTATATATTTCTTGGGTGACCAAGCCGTAAGGGAAATCAAAGGTAGTTAGGGAGCTCTAGACACTAAGGGTGACACCATGGAGGCCCACCTGCCCTCTCACAGGGGACACAGAGTCCCAGGCTCTCTGCTTTGCAGTCCTGAGCTGGTCTGGAGATTCTCCTCTTCCTGCTCCTTGCAGATTTACGAGCTGTATAACGGTGGCTCCGTGCCGGTGACATACGAGATCCAGACGGATGTCCTGTTGCAAATTCAGGAAAAAAATTTCAGCCACCCCATCTTCAGCTGCCTCAATCCTAAAGGGGAGATCCAGCCAGGCTCCACTGCACGGGTCTTCTGGATCTTCTCACCCATCGAGGCCAAGACCTACACGGTGAGTAGTATCCCGGGATAGTACAGGGTGGAGGCTGGGGTTGGCCTCCCCAGCAGGCCTTCCTCCCAACAGGCCTCGCTCTGACCGCTCCCTCCTCCACCTCCCTCATTTCCCAGGTGGACGTGCCCATACACATCCTGGAGTGGAATTCAGCCCTCATCCACTTCCAGGGAGTGGGCTATGACCCCCACATCATGGGGGACACAGCCCCATTCCACAACATCTCCTCGTGGGACAACAGCTCCGTACACTCTAGGCTGATAATTCCTGGACAGGTGGGGGCAAAGACAGCTGAGAAGGCCTGAGGCCTCGGAGGAAATCCTTAGCGCCCGAGGTGGCCAGTGCAGTGGGATGGGGAGCTGGGGAAAAAATGAGATGGAGTTGAAGAGGGATGGATGCAGAAGTGAGGCCTGGGCACAGCTCCATGAGAGGTTTATCCCGCCATCTAGTGCCCACAACTGTCCCTGCTCAAGCTAGTCTACCTGTCGCAGTGTCCTCTATCTCCCCCCATCGGCCCACTCTCTCTGGGCATAGGAAGGGGGTCATTAGAAGATGTAGAAAGAAGCTCTCCCATTCTATGCATTCTCTCCATACACAATAGCTCCTCCCCTAGGCCTTGAGAGACTGTGCTGGAAGCTGTGTAGGGTCAGCACCGCCTTTAGTCCACACTCTTCATCGTTGGAAGATCCAGCCCCCTCGGCCGTCCACCTACCCGTAGACGCATTCTTCTGTCTACCCACTGGACCTTATACCGTTTGCTCACCAATGTAACATCCGTCCAGTGATTCACTTGTCTATCTACCTGCAAGGAATCACTGGATTATCTACCTGCCCACCTTTCTCCTCAAACCCTCGCTGTCCTCCCTTTCCAGGATGAGCACATGGAGGCCCTGGGGGTCACAGAGAAGAGCTAAAGTCCCTGCTCTGGAAATACAGGGTCTGGACAGAGAGAAAGTGCCTCTGCATGTGGTCTCAGTCTTTCCAGATAATCTGTTTGGGTTTGTTTGTTTGTTTGTTTTTAGGTTTTTGCCATAGGCTATGTGTGCTGGCTAGAGAGAGACAGAGAGGAGGAAAGTGAGAAATCATCCCCCAGGGAATGGCCATGCCTCAGTCCCTTCTCCTCCATTCTCCTCTCAGGATTTCAGGCATATACGCACACACACACTTAGCATGATTTTCAAGCTATTGGGTCCAGGATTTGAACCACAGTTGTCAAAGTGGGAACCCAACATCTTAACCGCCATGCCAACTGCTGGCCCCTAAAACACTCCTAGTCTTTGCCCAGAGAAGATGCTAACAGCTGGTCACCCATTCATTTACAACTTTCCATCAGAAACTCAAGTTATGTTGCCTTTAGATCTGTCTTTTCGGCTGATTCTGCTCCAATCCTTTCAAGCCTGTCTTAATGGTTGAAATCATGGACATTTGGGTGAGACTGTCTGGGTTTCCCCCAGATACGTGAGAAGCCATTTGAAGAATGATGTATATTCCTGGACCATAGCAGCACACCTGTACAATGGGGACAATGGTAGTACCGATACCCCAGGGCCCCTGCGAGGATCCAATGCGTGTGAAGGCCCTCACACAGCACCTGGCCTGTTGAAAGCACTCTGGCTGGTAGGGTTGTAGGCTGACTGTTTCTTCACCTCCTCCAGTTGCTGTTATGGTGTTTCCACCAACAGAAAGTCTTCCTGTCCCAGTCTCATATCTCCCTGGGGAACATCCCCGTGCAGAGCAAGTGCAGCCGCCTGCTGTTCCTCAATAACGTCTCCAAGAGTGAGGCAATTGTCTTTGCCTGGCAGCCAAGGCCTCTAGATTTTGGGGAGGTGAGAGTCCTCTGTGCCCACAAAATCAGAACCTCTGGCAGGGCTCCCTGCTCATCCTATCCCCCCGATTCCATCCCATGTCGTCTCCCAACTTGTCCCATATTGTCCTGTCCTAGCCCACCCCACCCCTTCCCCTCCCGTTCTATCCCATTCCATCCCAACCCATCCTTGTGAAACTTTACTCTCCCAAATCAACAGGTGTCTGTGAGTCCCATGACAGGAGAGGTGGCTCCTGAAGATACAGTCCCATTTGTGGTGACCTTGAAGGCTTCCGTGCATGCCAGCTTCTACAGTGTGGACCTGGTATGCAAGGTAGGAACCAGGCCCAGAGAGAAAATGGGATGAAGGCAGTTCCCAGGTCAGGGAATGGGGTGGGCTCTCAGGTCTCCAGACTGCCAGAGGAAGGCAGGAACCAGCTCTTTTAAAGGTGGGGGCCTATAGCGCATGCCCAGGGCAAGGCCTGGCTACAGACCCTCCAGACCTTGGCCTTTTTCCCCCTTGTCCTGGGCCACAGGTATACCGGCAGGAGCTGATGAGGCAGTACCACAAGGAGCTGCAGGAATGGAAGGATGAGAAGTTGCGGCAGGAAGTGGAGTTCACTATCACAGACAGAGAAGTAAAGGTGAGGAAGGCCGAATGGGCCTCAGACACCTGGCTCTCTCTGACTGGTCTCACCCGAGGGCATGGGTGGTGGACCAAGGTGGTCCTCCATGAAAAACTGGCCAGACTGCCCTAAGAGAGTAGATTACATTCACTGAACCCAGCAAAGCATCTCTGCAGCTATCCCAAGAGACACTCTGGGTAGACAATTCTGGCGGACCAACTCCTGGTTCATGTCACCAGTATTTAACAAGTGCCTGCTATGTGCTGGGCACTGAAGACTCAGGGAAACAGACAGGACTCACTTTCTGATGGGAGACACTGTGGCTTAGTGGCTTCTGGTGTAGACTGTGGAAACACATCATCCAGGTTTGATTCCTAGCTTCAGTGATTTCTAGCTTTATGATCTTGCTCAAGTGATTTAACCTCTCTATTCCCTCAGCTATAAAAATGGGGATTATAAGGGCCAACAGGTAGCATATTAGTTAAGGTACTGGACTCCCACATGACCGACCATGGTTTTTGAGTCCCAGACCTGGTGGCTTGAACATCATACCAGACACATGTGTGCAGGCCCAAAATCTCAGGAGGGCAGTGGAGGAGAAGGGATTGTAGCATGGCTATACCCCTGGGTGTGTGTGTGGGGGTGACTTCTCACTTTCCTTCTCACTGTCTCTTTCTGGCAAGCCCATGCGAAAAAGACATTAAAAATTACATATTTAGGGGCCAGCGGGCCGTATGTTGGTCAAGGCACTGGACTCCCACATGGCCAGCTGTGGTTCGAGTCCCAGATCTGGTGGCTTGCTTTCTCACTTTCCCTCTTTCTCTCTCTGTGTCTCTCTCTGGTTAAATTAAAATAATAATAATAAATAAGATAAAATAAGTAACTCTTTAAAAAGTACATATATATTGGAGCCAGCAGGTGGTGCCGTGGTTAAGGGCTCTAGACTCCCACATGGCCAACCATGGTTTGAGTCCCAGACTTGGTGGCTTGCTTTCTTACTTTTCCTCTTTCTCTCACTCTGTCTCTCTCTGATCAAATAAATAAATAAAGTTAAATAAAATAATTCTTTTTTTAAAAAATGTACATATATGAACCAGCAGATAGCATAATGGCTATGTCGCTGGGTTCCCATGTAGTCGACCACATTTGAGTTCCGGACCTGGTGGCTTAAACTCACGCTGAGTGCATGTGCGTGCGTGCCCAAGATCCCGAGAGGAGAATGGAGGAGAAGAGATTGCACCGTGGCCATCCCCCCTAAGGGGTGATTTGTCACTTTCTGTCTCTCTGTCTCTCTCTGTCTTTCTGGCGGGAACACTCGCCCTATAACAAAAACCCCCCAAC